GTTTTAGCACCGTAACACCTTGTGCCAAAGTATTTTCTGTCTCTCTTGCTAGAGGACACATGTGCTCACCAGAGAGAGACAGAGAGACAGAGGAAGAGAGGGAGAAGAACCGCACGACGGGTTATAGTCAAGCCGCAATCCCATCTCCATGTCTCCATCCTGCTGGGATTTTGGGCTACCATGTACATGCACCTGGTGCTTGCTAGGGCTGGGATCCAAACTGTGGTTGGCCATTATGGGATGTAGCTCCCTTTACCACTCAGCCATGAGGCCAGCCTAGTGCCACGGTACTTTCTAACCATGTCCATCAAACCTGTTATCTTTGGGCACTGATCAAAAAGCAAGCTTCTCCCTTGTCCTCATGTCAAAGTCCCTGTTTATTGGCTTTTCTTACTACCCTCATCCATTTCTGCCCCTTTAAACTTTCTCATTCCTGTTTTTGCCACAATTGACTCAACCTCCCAATCTTCTCCTATATCCTGGGCATTTCCAAAAACTGCTTATTGGGGCTGGCAGGTGGCATGGTGGTTAAGGGTGTTGGACTCCCACATGGCCAACCGTTGTTCGAGTCCAGAACCTGGGCTTGCTTTCTCTCTCTCTCTCTCTCTCTCACTCTGGTCAAATTAAAATAAATAATGTTAAAAAAATAATTCCTCGGACCAGCAGTTAGCGTAATGGCTATGTCGCTGAACTCCCATGTAGTCAACCGCGGTTCGCGTCCTGGACCTGGTGGCTTGAAATTCACGCCGGGCGCGTGTGCGTGCGTGCCCAAGATCCTGAGAGGAGAATGGAGGAGAAGGGATTGCAGCATGGCCATCCCCCCGGGGGGTGATTTCTCGCTTTCTGTCTCTCTGTCTCTCTCTGTCTATCTGGCAAGCGGACATACCCTATAGCGAAAACCTCTCCAAAAAAAAATTCTTTAAAAAAAAATTCTTAAAAAAAAAAATTCTTAAAAAATAACTTCGCGGGACCAGCAGTTGCTGTAATGGCTATGTCACTGGATGCCCATGTAGTTGATCGTGGTTCTAGTCCCAGACCAAGTGGTTTAAACTCATACCAGGCACGTGTGCATGGGTACCCAAGATTCCAAGAGCAAAATTCCAAGAGGAGAAGGGATTGTGGCGTGGCCATCCCTCCTGGGGGGTGATTTCTCGCTTTCTATTTTTCTGGTGAGCACACACCCAAGAGCAAAAAAAAAAAAAAAAAAAAAAAACTTGGCTTGGGTCCAGCAGGTAGCATAGTGGTTACAGCACTGGACTCCCACATGGCTGACTGAGGTTTGAGTCCTGGACCCGACAGCTTGAAAGTCACACCAGGCGCATGTGTGTGCATGCCCCAAATCCTGAGAGAATAATGAAAGAGAAGGGACTGTTGCATGGTCATCACCCCTGGGAGGTGATTTCTCACTTTCTCTCTCTCTGTGCCTCTGGTGAGTGCATATGCCCTTTAGCAAAAATCTCTCTCTTCTTCTTTTTTTAAATAATTATTTTACTTTATTTTTTCATTCATTCATTTATTTTGACTAGAGAGACACAGAGAGACAGAGAAAGAGAGAGAGAGAGAGAAAGAAAGTGAGAAAGCAAGCCACCAGGTCTGGGACTCAAACCATGGCCAGCCATGTGGGAATGTCCAGCACTTTAACCACCACGTTACCTACTGGTCCCCAAATCTCTCTATCTCTTAAAAAAAAACTTGGTTCTGCTCTGAGGGCAGTGATATCTCTACCACCCTCTCTACTAAGGTCCACATAAGGGGCCAAAACTGTAGTAACTGGAATTTCTCAGGCTGACTTCTACTAGTTCCAAGCAGTAACTCTTCCTGTATGGAAAAATTATCATCCTTTGGAATTCACATCTTATCCTGGAATCTTCTAGGCACTGTTTTCTACAGGCATTTTTTTTTTTTTTTTTGGAGAGGTTTTTGCTACAGGGCGTGTGCGCTCGCCAAACAGAGAGAGAGAGAGACAGAGAGACAGAAAGTGAGAAATCACCCCCCAGGGTGGATGGTCACGCCACAATCCCTTCTCCTCCATTCTCCTCTCGGGATCTTGGGCAAGCACGCATACATGCCTGGCGTGAGTTTAAGCCACCAGGTCGGGGCCTCAAACCGCAGTCAACTACGTGGGAGTCCAGTGACATAGCCATTATGCTAACTGCTGGTCCCTGGCATATATATATATTTTTTAGAGGTTTTTGCCATAAGGCAGATGTGCTTTCCAGAGAGGAGAGACACAGAGAGAGACAGAAAAGGAAAGTAAGAAATCACCACCCCCTCTCCACTCCCCCCCCCACCCTGCTACACCATAATTCTTTCTCCTCTGTTAGGATTTTGGGTGCATGCTCACACATGCCCAGCATGATTTTCAAGCCACCAGGTCCAGGGCTTGAACAGCGGTCGGTCATGTGGGAGTCCAGCCACCTTAACAACCATACCGCCTGCTGTTCCTTTTTTGTTATTGTTAGAGGATGTCTGTGCTCTCCAGAAAGAGAGAGAGAGAGAGAGACATGGCAAGAGGGAAATTGAGAAAGTACCCCTCAGGAGGGGATGGCCATACAGCAATCCCTTCTCCTTAGTGACTGCAAGTAGGAATACTGTAATCACAAGGGACAGAGAGACAGAGAGCGGGAAATCACCCCCAGGGGATGGCCACACTGCAGTCTCTTCTCATGCTCTTCTCGGGATCTTGGCCATGCATACACATGCATCTGGTGTACCTTTCAAGCCTCTGGATCTGGGACTCGAACCACAGTTGGCCATGTGGGAGTCCAGCGATGTAGCCATTACACCAGCTGCTGGTCCTTTGTTTTGTTTTTGAGAATTTTTTTGCTATAGGGCACATACACTTGCCAGAGACAGAGAGAGGCAAAGAGACAGAAAGTGAGAACCACCCCCAAGAGGGGATGGCCACACTGCAATCCCTTTCCCTCCATTCTCCTCTTGGGATTTTGGACACCCACATACATGCGCCTAGCATGCATTTCAAGCCACTGGATCCGGATCTCAAACTGTAGTTGGCCATGTGGGCGTTAAGTGCCTTAACCACCACAGCACATACTGGGCAGAATAATTTTGTTTTTTGTTTGTTTAGCTTAGATTTGTTTAAAGTACGTGTGCTCACTGGAGAGTGACAGGAAGAGCAAGAGGAAAAGTGAGAAAATCAACCCCTCAGAAAGGATGGCCATGCCACAATCCTTTCTCTTCCATTCTCCTCTCGGGATTTTGGACATGTACGCACACACACCTGGCATTTTTTTCAAGCCTCTGGGTCCTGAACTTGAACTGAGAAGTCAGTCATGTAGGATTGAGCCCCTGAACCTCCACACCACCTATTGGCCCAAAATCTGTTTTGTTTTAAGCCACTAAGTTTGTGGCATTTTGTTACAGGAGGCCTAACCTCTGCGGTACAGTTGCATACCAGACTACAGAACAGGAAACCACATGCTGACTGAGTCCCTGCCATAGTCAACCAGAAAACACACAGGGTGTGTGCACACAAGCATAGGATCCTGGCAGGCTGGAGACTAGAAGAAACAGACTGATGTTCTCACTCTCTCCCATGAATGCACACATACTTTATCATTAATGTTTTAAAAAAGAGGGCCAGCCGATGGTGTGGTGGTTAGGGTAGCTGGATCCCACATGGCTGACTATGTAGTTCAAGCCCCATACCCAGGAGCTTGAAAAAGATGTGTGTGTGTGTGCATACCTCCAAAATCCTGACAGGATGAAGATATGGATGAAAACAGACATGACTTTGTCTTTCTCTGTCTTTGTCTCTCTCTCTCTGGCTAGCTCATATTAAAAAATATAGTTTATTTTTTTAAGTATGTTTTTAAGGGAGATATCGGAAATAACTTAAATATAAAAGTGATTTTAAGACGTATTTTAACAGGCATTCCAAAAGGTGTGTTTTCATTTTTATGACAGATACATTTTTAAAAAAGAGCTTTATTTAATTGGTATAAGATCTGATTTTTTTAAAAGGTTTTTGCCATAGGATATGTGCACTCTCCAGAAAGAAAGAAAACGAGAAAGTGAGAATTTATCCCCAGCAGATGGCCATGTTGCAATCCCTTCTCCTCCATTCTCCTCTCAGGATTTTGGACACACACACATGCCTGGCATGATTTTCAAGCTGCTGGGTCCGGGATTCGAACTGCAGTCAGTCATGTGTCTATAAATTATGTCTACAAATGATCGATTCTGAGAGGCATCGGTTGATACCCTATAGTAAAAAATGCAGTTCTTGGGACCAGCAGATGGCATAATGGCTATGTTGCTGGACTCCCATGTAGTCTACCATGGTTCAAGTCCCAGACCCGATGACTTAAACTCATGACAGGTGAGTGTGTGTGTGTGCCCAAGATCCCAAGAGGAGAATGGAGGAGAAGGGATTACAGCATGGCTAATCCCCTGGGGGTGATTTCTCGCTTTCTGTCTCTCTGTCTCTCTTTCTGGAGAATGCACATGCCCTATAGCAAAAATCTCTCAATA